GTAACAGTTTTGGCGCCCAACATGGCGCTCACTTTTGCCTGTGGATGTGTGTTCCCCTGGCCCAGAGCTTGACACAGGGCCCCACCTAGGAACTTCCCAAGCTGTGGTGTCAGAGGCAGAGGCTGGATGGCAGTCCATGACTGGCCACCCCTGACCTCCAGCACTATTTTTATTTTTTCAGCATAAGAAATAAGGAATTGAAAAGGTCTAAAAGCTAACAAACAAAATAGAAACAGACTCATAGATACAGAGAACAGACTGACAGCGGTCAGAGAGGAGGGGGTTAGGGGACTGGATGAAAAAAGTGAAGGGACCAAGCAAAAAAACAAAATTCATAGACACAGACAACAGTACGGTGATTACTGGAGGGATAGGAAGGTGGGAGGAGTTAGAAGAGGATAAAGGGGGCATAAATGGTGATGGAAGGAGACTTGACTTTGGGTGGTGAGCACACATACAATATACACATGATGTATTATAGCATTGTAGCCCTGGCTGGGTAGCTCACTTGGTTAGAACATCGTCCTGATATTACAAGGTTGTAGATTTGATCCCTGGTTAAGGCACATACAAGAAGCAACCAGTGAATGCATAAGTAAGTGGAACAGCAAACTGATCTCTCTCTCTCTCTCTATCTCTATCTCTCTCTCTCTCTCCCCCACCCTCCACCCCCTTCAACTGGGGCTGACCAGCAGACCCAGAGCGATGGATAAATGATTACTCTGACACATTTCTGTGAAAGAGAGGGCTAAGGGACTGTTTGGTTAGAAGAACCAAACAGCCCCATTTACCTGCCTCCTCAGGCTTTTATTGTAACAACAGCTTGAACTAAAATGAACTTTTAGACACTATCAGCAGGGTAAGCATCCTTGAAAAGGCACATGCATCTATAGTGTCCTTTAAGCAAGGATGTCTGAAGACTAAGCATAAAGATTCCAGTAAACACCTAGGGGCTCAGGCTTGTTTGGAAAAGTCAAGGCAGGGGTGGCCACGTTCAGCCAACTCCTGTCCTGTGCACCCTCTCTCTCTCTCATTAATTAAAAAACAAAACAAAACAGAATAGGGTTGCTCTGAGGAAAAAAGGGGGACATTCCTTTTGTTAACTATTAATATTAGGAGAAATGAAAAGTTTCATTTACAACTTAAAAAAAAAAACAACTCCCATTTACCATTGCAACAACAACAACAAAATAAGATACCTAGGAATAAACTTAACCAAAGAAGTAAAGACCTATTCTCAGAAAACTATAGGACATTGAAAAAAGAAATAGAGGAAGATTGGAAGAATTACCATCATTAAAATGTCCATACTACCCAAAGCAATCTATAGATTCAATGCAATCCCTATTAAAATACCAATGGCATACTTCACAGTATTAGAACAAATACTTAAAAAATGTATATGGAACCAAAAAAAGACTCTGAATAGCTGCAGCAACCTTAAGAAAAAGAGCAAAGTTGGATGGATCACAATACTGGAATCAAACTACTGCAAAGCCACTGTAATCAAAACAGCCTGGTACTGGCACAAGAACAGGCATATAGACCAATGGATCAGAACAGAGACCCCAGAAATTGACCCACACTATTACGGTGGGTTAATATTTAACAGTGGGGGCAAAAACATACAATGAGGTAAAGACAGTCTCTTCAACAAATGGTGTTGGGTAAACGACAGACACATGAAAAAAAAAGATGAAACTAGACCACCAATTACACCATACATAAGAATAAACTCAAAATGGATAAAAAACTTTAAAATCCCAGAGGAAAACATAGGCAGCCCAATATCAGACATCTCATGTCACAGAATTTTTGCTGATACATCTCCTAGGTCAGTGGTCGGCAAACTGCGGCTCATGAGCCACATGCAGCTCTTTGGCCCCTTGATTGTGGCTCTTCCACAAAATACCACATGCAGGCGTGCATATACAGTGCCATTGAAACTTCGTGGCCCATGCGCAGAAGTCTGTATTTTGTGGAAGAGCCACACTCAAGGGGCCAAAGAGCCGCATGTGGCTCACGAGCCGCAGTTTGCCAACCACTGTCCTAGGTCAAGAGAAACAAAGGAAAAAGTAAACAAAAGGGGTGACATCAAAATAAAAAGCTTCTGCACAGCAAAGGAAACCAGCATCCAAGTGAAAAGGGAGCCCAGTGTATGGGAGAACATATTTCCCAATGATACATCTGATAAAGGGTTAATTTCCAAAATATATGAAGCACTCATACAACTCAACAAAAGGAAGGCAACCAACTCAATTCAAAAATGGGCACAAGACCTGAATAGACACTTCGGCAAAGAGGACATTGTATTCCACAAATGAGTGATATTTATCTTTCTCCCATTGGCTTATTTCGCTTAGCACAATGCTTTCCAGGTCCATCCATGCTGTTGCAAATGGTAAAAGTTCCTTCTTTTTGATAGCGGCGTAGTATTCCATTGTGTAGATGTACCACAGTTTTTTAATCCACTCGTCTGTTGATGGACGTTTGGGCTGTTTCCAAATCTTAGCTGTGGTAAATTGTGCTGCTATGAACAAAGGGATTCACATATCCTTTCTGATTGGTATTTCTGGTTTCTTGAGATATAGTCCTAGAAGTGGGATCACTGGGTCAAGTGGGAGTTCCATTATTAACTTTTTGAGGAAACACCATACTGTTTTCCACAGTGGCTGCACCAGTCTGATGAATATATTTCTGAACAGATGACTGTACCTTGTACAGCGGGGCCTTGACTTACGAGTGTTCCGACTAACAAGGTTTTTTGAGATACAAGCCGTCTCTCGCCGATTTTTTGCTTTGAGTTGCAAGCTCAAAAAAATGCGGGTTATGAGCCAGCCTCAGATACCCCACCGCTAGTTGGCGCAGCGAACGTCACAGTGATTTGACATACGAGTAATTTGAGTTGTAAGCTCCGTCACAGAACGAATTAAACTCGTAAGTCAAGGCCCCACTGTACTAGCACATGTAACCCCCCTACCTTACCTGTGAGAAAAATTCATGGCAGAGGACGAAGTTTTCTCCAAGATTCTAGAGTATCCGATATCATTGTGATTCTCTGATATCCAGAGGTGCCCAGTCCTCACACTCTGCTTTCAAATATCCCCAGAAATAGTTCCTATTTTTGGATTGTAACTTAAGTAATGCTTTCTTGAGGGTACCAGGACATTCTCAGAGTCAACTTTTTTTAATGTATTGATTTTAGAGAGAGAGGGAAGGAGAGAGAAACACTGCTTTGTTGTTCCACTTATCTCTACATTCATTGGTTGATACTTGTGTGTGCCCTGACCGAGGATCAAACCCGCTCAACCTTTATTGATGTTGTTTGTGAACGGTGACACTGAGGTGATCTCGGCGTGCAGGATGAGTTTAGAGAAGCAGAGGGCTACCGCTCGCTCAGGCGAATAGCAAAGCCCCCAAAGCTCTCATGGCTTTTATTTGGGGAGCACAGCAAATAACAATGGAGTACAGCAAGTGACAGTGACTAACAGGCATGCTTATGGGATCATCGGAGCTAAGTTATACATTACACTATTAATTTCCTATGTTATACAAAGACCCTTTCCACCTGCAGCAGTGCACCCTCCCTTGAACTTTCCATGCCCTCATGGACTATTTCTCACCTCAAGGAAAGTTCTGCCTCTGAACAATAAGTCTTGCGTGCAAGACTTTGTTCTGACGTGGCCCGCTTGCAGGCTCCCGCCTTTTCTTGGCAGAACGTCCTCTTCTAGTTAACTTCATTCCGCTTGACCAGCTACAACCTTGGCATATCGGGATGATGCTCTAACCAAGTGAGCTACCTGGCCAGGGCCTCTCGGAGTCCATTGTTGTGTGCCTTTAACTTGGAATCAACAGCAATATACCTGGACTGTTATGCCACACGAATATAGGGAGAACCTAACTTTTTTAGATTTTGAAGGTAGACATTCAAGATCTTGTGTTTTCTAGTGATTCTACCCTAACACAATGTGCGGGTGAATTGTTACTCTTTCCCTCTTCTGAGGAAGTTTCTTCATCAGAAAGCATTTGTTTGTTTATTTATTGATTGATTTGAGAGAGAGAGACATCGTTTCGTTGTTACACTTACCTATGCATTCATTGGTTGATTCTTGTATATCCCCGGACTGGGGATTGAACCCGCAACCTTGGCGTATTGGGACTGTGTTCTAACCAACTGGGCTACCCAACCAGGGAGAAACCTTTATTTATTGTCTCCATTAGCTGGAGGGTGACATGAAGTGTCTAAAGAAAAATTACAATTGGCTCCAAAAAATAGTCCAATACTTGGGTCAGATCATCTGTAATTAAGGTTTCTCAATTGGATCCTGAACGAGAGAGAAATATTTAGTCCTTTCCCTCACCCCGTGATGAAAGAGAATTAAGGGGATTTTACGGGCTTATTGGATGTTGTCATGACTGGACTCCAAATCTCTCTTTCGTTGCACAACCTTTATATGTCCACTTAAGGGTAGAAAGCCCCAAACTTTGTCACTAAACTGACAAAAAGATTGAGCCCTTAGTTCAAAGGCTGTCTTCTGTCCTCTCCAGCGTAGGACAACCCAACTATACAAAGTGTTTCTTTTGTGCATGAAAATCAAGGAAATGCTTCGGGCATGTTTGCTTTTTTAGGAGGTTATAGCCAAGATCCTGACACTGTAGCCAAAGCACATGCTCCCTGTGTGAGAGTAATGGCCACAGCTATGCCCATGGCAGATACTGAAGAATGACTACTAGGCTTCCCTGTACCTCCTCTCTCTCTCTCTCTCTCTCTCTCTCTCTCTCTCTCTCTCTCTCTCTCTCTCTCTCTCTCTCTCTCTCTCTCTCATCAATTAAAAAAAGCCCAACAGAATAGGGTTGCTCTGAGGAAAAAAGGGGGACATTCCTTTTGTTAACTACTAATGTTAGGAAAAATGAAAATTTTCATTTACAACTAAAAAAAACCCAAACAAAACATTCCCATTTACCATTGCAACAACAGCAACAAAATAAGATACCATATGTTATGCTTCATGCTGTAATTGTTTTATTCAAATCACATCCTAGCCAACGATTGTCTGGGAGTTGGGTAACTTATTATGAAATTTTAATATTATCTGCACCCAACATCACTATTTCCAAATGATAAGTTTTTATTGATGTTTGGAAAGAGAGGAAGGGATAGAGAGATAGCAACATCAATGCGAGAGAAACATCATGGATCGGCTGCCTCCTGCATGCCCTCTACTGGGGATTGAGCCTGCAACCCGGGCATGTGCCCTGACTGGAATTGAACAGTGACCTCCTGTTTCATAGGTCAATGCTCGACCATTGAGCAACACCAGCTGAGCTGACTTGTAATTTTGATGTGGTCATTGGAGGAGGTGAGCACAGTGTTCACCTACTCCGCCATCTTGAACGGAATTCTCTTTAAGCTGTAACTTTATAGACTCTTCTCTATAGAATCAGTGGATTCCCTTCTTTGCTTAGCTTCCAAGATCTTGGTGGCTGGAAAGTGACAGGTGTTGAAGGGGGTGGGGGGAAGGGAGAGTGGGCAGGGCAGGAGCAGTCTGGGCATTTGATCACGGGAGGAGGGTGTGCTTTAAATTTTATTTTTTAACGTGGATAGAATTGCCATTTGTTTAAAAAAAAAATACTGTTTGTTCTTCTGTATGTTTGAAATATGACAAAAGATTCACTTTGGGAAGCTGGCATGGCAGCAGAAAAGGAACATGGCTAGTGTCAATTAAGTGTGGAATGGACGGTAGGCCTTGTTGGGTTAAGGCAAGGACCGGTCAATAATTGGGTTCTAGAACTCACATCTCTTGGGGTTCTACCTGGATCCACCTATTTCCTAAATATCATTCATCATGTAGAGTTTGCTTTGTTGGGTACACAAGAAGCTCAGGAAATTCAGCCTTTGCACCCCGATTCAGACACGAGAGGCCCTTATTCCCACGGGAAGAGGCCTGGGGGGAGCCCCGCCATCTTCTCCTGGTAGACTTTATCGAAGGCTTCACTCTGGGCCACTGTGAGATGGTTTTTCCAGTCGCCAATGATTCCTGTCAAACACAAAACATGAGTCCGGATCAGATTTACAGATAAGGTGCCACAACTTGAACTTCTCTGTCCGTCTCTACTGTGAATTGATCTTACACTGTCAATACAAAACACACCCCCAATGTAACCACGCAGTTAAAAGCTCCCCGTCTGGATTCAGATGCCCTTGGCTTCAATGCCTGACTACCAGTTGCATAATAATGTAGTTGAGTTTACTGTTTGCCATCTGTTTCACAAGACTGTTCCCAGCTCTAGCCGTTTGGCTCAGTGGACAGAGTGTCAGCCTGGGGACTGAAGGGCTCCGGGTTCGATTCCGGTCAAGGTCATATGCCTGAGTTGTGGGCTCAGTCCCCAGTAGGGGGCCTGCAAGAGGCAGCCGATCAATGATTCTCTCATCATTGATGTTCTATCTCTCTCTCCCTCTTCCTTCCTCTCTGAAATCAATTTAAAAAAAAAAAAAAAGATTGTTCCCAGTACCTACCTCCTGTGACATTGTGAGGATTGAGTGATGATAAAGGCAACAAAAGCGATCATGCCTAAAATGCAGTAATTTCTTCAATGCCTGGCACTGTGTTAGGATATTACACGTCTGCCTCGTTTAACACGCAAGACATTTTTTTAAATATATTTTTATATTATTAAAATATAATGTACCCACCAATGTAAACAAAAAAAAAATGTATTTGTCTCTTCATTTCCCCATTTTATTCAATTCCAGGGATTTCCCCACTTTGCTTTCTTCTGCCTCCCTAAGCTATCATCAATGGATTTCATGTAAACCCCTTTCATCTTCTCCATTGATTCTGATGTATAAAATAAATTGTAAAATTTCCATTTTCTGCAGCATTTTCTCAGTCTATTGAGATTTTGCTTCCTGGCAATTGTCATCAATTTGGCTCAAATAAACTCATAAAAACTGTCAGAGAGAAAGATGTAATTCATCGGCAATGCTTCATTTTCTAAGATTTCTTTTTTTTTTTTCCCTAAGATTGCTTTACAACCTTAGAAATACTTCAAATTATTCCTTAAACTCTCAAAGTCCTGCACAACTTATGTGATTTTAATAGAGTCAGATATTTTCATCACCCCATGTCTTAGTGCATCAATAGAAGCTGGGAGGTTCACTGTCCATTACATCCATGTTGTAAGATTAGAGACTCTCTCTTACCTTTTCTCATAAGACACGCTTTGCTGTGATCCATAAGGACATCAGGGAGTAGAGAGAAATTGCTCATTTTATTGTCTTTCATGGCCTGGAAGGTTACATTCTTGAGGATGGAGTCCAGTTCTTCTGGGCTTAGCTTTGTGCCCAAGAATTGGCTGACCTTCTCCACACTGGCTCTGATGTCCTAGAATGAGAACCACAACAGAGAAAACATGAAATTAGCCCTAGCTGGTTTGGCTCAGTGCATAGAGCGTCAGCCTGCAGACTGAAAGGTCCTGGGTTGGATTCCGGTCAAGGACCCATGCCGGGGTTGTGGGCTCGAGCCCCAGTTGGGGGTGTGCAGGAGGCAGCTGATCAATGATTCTCTCTCATCATGGATGTTTCTATCTCTCTCTCCCTCTCTCTTCCTCTCTGACATCAATAAAAATATATTTTCAAAAAACACATGAAATTAAAGTACAACAGGGAAAAGGGAAGCAAGGAGAGAATGCAGGCGAGGAGGAGACAGAAAACGAAGGAAATCAGGAAGCGGGTGAGCTCGTCATGTTCACGTAGGAAATGTGCAAGCTGAGTGCGTGCCTAGAAGCAAATGCCCATTAGAGACAATTGACTGTGAGACTCATTAAGCCACTTTCTTTTGATGCCAACCGAAGCTTCCTATGAATATCCACTCCTACATAATCCACCCCTACAGGAATCCTCTTCCTGTCAAGCTGGGATCACGTCCTTACTTCCTGTACTGGTCCTGACCCAGTCACGCCTCACCTTCCATGAGTCCCCACCTGACACTGCCCTTTGGTTCCCAGATTTTTGCTGTAGAATCGTCGATGACCCCCAGCAAGTACCTATGTTGTGAAGCTTGTCCTCGTTGCATGCATTAAGTACGTCAAAAGACATAAATTAAAAAATTGAAGAACATGGGCCAACTCATGAGGTCAATGACAAAAAGGCAATGACCCCCACTTGGTCGCATTCCTGGGATCAGCTCTGATTGAAAGTGTAGAATGGAAACATTAAAGAATGAAGGGGCCCTAGCTGGTTTGGCTCAATGGATAGAGCATCAGCCTGCAGACTGAAGGGTCCCAGGTGCGATTCAGGCCAAGGGCACATGCCTGGGTTGTGGGCTCCATCCCCAGTAGGGGGCATGTAGGAGGCAGCCAATCAATGATTCTCTCTCATCATTGATGTTTCTATATCTCACTCCCTCCCCCTTCCTCTCCAACATCAATAAAATATTTTTTTAAAAAACATGAAGGGATTGCCCAGCCAGCGTGGCTCAGTGGTTGAGTGTCGACTTATGAGCCAGGAGGTCACAGTATGATTCCCGCTCAGGGCACATAACCGGGTTGCAGGCTCCATCCCCGGTGGGGTGTGTGTAGGAGGCAGCCAATCAGTGATTCTCTATCATCATTGATGTTTCTATTTATCTGTCTCCCTTCCTCTCTGAAATCAATTAAAATATGTATTTAAAAAAAAAAGAATGGAGGGATTTCTGGGTCATATTCTTAATCAAAGCAATGTACACCTGAAGCCTATGTAATCTTATTCATCAATGTCACCCCCAATAAATTTAATTTAAAAAATAAATACGTAAAATTAAAGAATGGTAGACAGCTATGAATGGAGTTGGAGAGAGTGACACTTTGGTAGAAGAATTACCTGATGCAGCTCCTCATATAATATCAATAGGAAGTTCTCTTTTCCCCTCATCTGAAGCCAGCCGCGAACATGGTCAAACCATGAGCCAAATGGCACTGCAAGAGAAGCCAGGAGAGAAGGTGAGTAGCTCATGCTTCCAAGCCCCATTGGCTAGGCCCATGGTCGGCAAACTCATTAGTCAACAGAGCCAAATATCAACAGTACAATGATTGAAATTTCTTTTGAGAGCCAAATTTTTTAAACTTAAACTATATAGGTAGGTACGTTGTTATTAACTTCATTAGGGTGCTCCTAAACTGGCCTTTGCTAAAAATGTCCTTAATCTGATTGAGGTATGTTCACTGAGATCGACCCCTTCCAACTCTCCCATTCACAGTCGTCTTGTATACTTGTTTCGTCTATGTCCTTTTCGTTCATCCTCTCTATATGTCCAAACCATCTCAACATCTCTTTCTCAGTCCTCGACACTACATCATCTTTCACTCCACAATGTTCCCTAAAATTAACTTAATAAACTTTACTTAAAGTTTGAAGTCTTAGTTAAACTCTAGGTACGTTGAATAAAACTTGATATCATACTTAATAACGATATTATTTATTGATAAAATTAAATTCCTTACAATTTACCTTACAATATCCATAAAATTAAATCATGACAATGACTGACAAACACTAATGTGAACAATGGCCTTGCATCTCCTTGGAAAGTTTGGGTAAGTCAGGTTTGTATGTTGTTGTTTTTAATTTTAGGCACAATTCCAGGTTCTCATCAATAAGACAACGTCTCAATTTACTCTTGATAAGGTTCATGATTAAAAATGATAGTTTGCATAAATATGTAGACCCGAATAAGGAAAGAACAGCAAACGCTGTTCTTAAATTGATGACAAAAATACCTGTAGGACTTGCAGCTGGTTGGAAAAATACAGGTAACTTTATGCTTCGAGTAGGTACTTTTGTCACCCACACACGATTTGCGGACGCAACTAGCACTAACCACTGCACAGTGAGACTGCTGCCTGACTGGCTCACTCAACTGGTGCATGAATCACGCGCGCCCCCCCCCCCCCCCACGCTGCGTCTCCCGTCGCCTGACCAACGGACTCCCCACACTTCTTCTAACGCCACTTCTTTAAAATAGACTCGCCCAGGCCGAAAACCAACTTCTGCGCACGGGCCACGAAGTTTCAGTCGCACTGTACGTGCATGCCCACACGTGGTATTTTGTGGAAGAGCCACACTCAAGGGGCCAAAGAGCCACATGTGGCTCGCGAGCTGCGGTTTGCCGACCACTGGGCTAGGCAACGCTGCTCATGTCAGCCACGCCTTCGGAAGCTGATCAGCAAGTAGGCGACTCTGCACCCTTTCCCGACGCCATTAAGTATTTGATGAGCAAGTGACTCAAGTGCTGGAAATTCGTTTCCTCTCATTTGCACGAGAAATAGAATTCTGCATTTACTGCCTCGATAAGCAGCCAGTTGGGTGCTCTATAGGATACCGTATGTAAGATGAGCTCCAGATCTCCCTGTGAGAAGAAGAGATTTTGAATTTTAAAGAGAATTTAGTTGGGAAATGAAAGAGCTGAACTCGAATTCCACCTAGTTTGGAGTCAATATCTTTGGTGTTTTGTGGTGTGTGTGTGTGTGTGTATGTTTCCTAATGTGATTTAAATGATGTAATTACCTGTAGACAGCACATGTTTTTGCCTCTCCTCCACCCACCCCCATACCTTTGGGACAGCACGTCTAACAGGAATTTTGTTTCTGCCACACGCTGTCTCTATTGAGATGAATGTAGCGGAGGATCAGATGTCAAATGCGCCTGTCACTTTGATATTATTGATTTGTTCCAAATAAGCTAGTTGACAAATAAGGGCCATTTCGATAGCTTTATATGCTTATCTTCTCTCTCTCTCTCTCTCTCTCTCTCTCTCTCTCTCTCTCTCTCTCTTTCCACTGAAGAAGGAGAAGTTACACATGAAAGTGTAAATGCTAAAATACCAGAATTTTCAGTTACCCTAGATAGGTTTGAACCCTTTCCCGTCCCACCGGAAACACTTGTGCGCCTCCTACACAGTCTCATCACCAGACTGTCATTCAAACGTTTTGAATGAGAGCTCTGATTCGTCAAATAAGGGTCCCCACAAAAAGTGTGTCTGTCCTAATCCCAAAATCACATTGGAGATGTGATTTAGGATCTATAGATGCAAAGAATGCAATCACAGGAGTCCCTAGAGCCCTGGCCGGTTTGGCTCAGTGGCTACAGCATCGGCCTGCAGACCAAAAGGTCTCGGGTTCGATTCCAGTCAAGGGCACATACCTTGGTTGCGGGCTCCTCCCTGGTCTTGGCCCTGGTTGGGGCTCATGCAGGAGGCAATCAATCAATGTGTCTTTCTCTCATCGATGTTTCTCTCTGTCTTTCCCTCTCTCTTCCACTCTCCTTAAAAAATCAATGGAAAAAATATCCTCAGGTGAGGATTAACAGAAAATAAAAATTTCAATTTAAAAAAAAATTTTAAAGGGTCCTTGTAAGAGAGATTCAGAGTGTCAGAATCAGAGAAGGGGATGTGATGACAGTACAGTTGGAAGGATGTGGCTATGTGCCAAGGAATATGGGCGTCCTCTAAAAGCTGAAAAGGCAGGAAGTGAATTCTCCCCTAGAGCTTCAAGAATGGAATGCACTAATGCCCTTGAATTACTTTTAGCTCATAAGTGTAGTTTGGATCTCTGAACTCCAGAGCATGAGACAATTTTTGGTTGTTGTTTAAAGCCAATAAATTGGTGATAATTTCTTACAGCGGTGATAGGAAACTAATACACTTCCTGTGTGAGCCACGTCCCACATGGCTTAGGGTTCGGGATCTGGAGAAGGGCTGCATGCAAATGAGGAGACAAGGAATAGTCATTTGGAAATTGGGGGGCCAGGTGGAAAGTCCAACCACAAGAGGAAGGACTTCACTGGTGTCCAGGCCTTGCCAACCTTTATTCAAGTTTAGATACACATCTAGCCCTAGGCAGGCAATTCCATTAACAGACTATCTTAAAGGTCAGTAAATATTAGTAAAGACTTACTCTGAGATTATTTGGTCAGGAAATTGCTTGAGCCACCATTGTCTGGACTAAACAATCGGTGCATAGCTCTGGCCCTTGCCAGGGCTCAAGGTTCACCAGCGTTCTGGGCTCTTTGTTTACATTTCTCTGATAATGAAGACAATGGGTGGCTTCCAACAACTTCCCAAGATGATAGGTGAGAAACGATATCTCAGTAGAGTTTAAATTCACACATCTCTTATTTTGAGTATAGTGAATTACTTTTTTATATGTTTATACTACTTTTAAGAAACATTGTGGGCCCTGACCAGTTTGGCTCAGTGGATAGAGCATCAGCCTGCGGACTGAAGGGTCCCAGGTTCGATTCCGGTCAAGAGCATGTACCTTGGTTGCAGGCACATCCCCAGTAGGAGGTGTGCAGGAGGCAGCTGATGGATGTTTCTCTCTCATCGATGTTTCTAACGCTCTATCCCTCTCCCTTCCTCTCTGTAAAAAAAATCAATAAAATATATTAAAAATAAATAAATAAAATAAATATATTTATATAAAAAAATGTTATGGGAGCAAAGCATGTTGACAAAGGTCCTATGTAAATGGGACTTGCTCAGATTCCACAACATCGAGGTTGGATTGCAATGTCATTGCATAAACCATAAGAAATTAAGACCTGGAAGTGAGGGGCAGGAACTCCACCCTTCCACCTAGAATCCTTATTTTGAGTCACACTCACCATTTCCTTGAAGGAACCATTCAAAATATTCTTCAAGTGAGCCTGGATTTTTGGTGGCCTTGATCGCTTTCCAGAAATAGTAACCAGAAATAAGAATATCTCTGGGATTTCTCATGATGTAGACACACTCAAATGAAAAAAAAAAAAAAAAAAAGGAAATAAAAATAGGTATACTCATTCTCACTGCCCTGAAATTTTTGCAAGTCAAGAAAAATTCAATTCTCATTAAAGTGTTGAGCTTCAATCTAATCTTCTTCCATTCACTCACTTAACAAAATATTGAGAACCCACCATATGACAGACACTTGCTCAGGCTTTTCAGAGGGAACAGTGAGAAACGTGTGGATCATTTTGGTTCTCAAGGACGTTATGACGCAATGAATGGAGAAGTTTTATAAAGGTTTCTCGCGGGCGAAGGGGGGGGGGTGCGGGGGGCGGGGGAATAATGCTATTCCATTTTGGCACCACTGACTAAGAAGCCCTGAGTGTGAATTAAACATCCTGAGTTTTGTTGGGACTTTGACAGCGACACCCTACTCTGTGTTCTTCCAGGAAGTTCCTGTTCTGGGCTTCTGTTGATTTTCCTAGAAATTCCTACCATACCAGCATTTCCCAGATAGGGATTAGGGCAGATGTGAATGGTCTTTATAAATTTCAAAATGGTAGCCAAAACCGGTTTGGCTCAGTGGATAGAGCGTCGGCCTGCGGACTGAAGGGTCCCAGGTTCGATTCCGGTCAAGGGCATGCACCTGGGTTGTGGGCCCATCCCCAGTAGGAGATGTGCAGGAGGCAGCCGATCGATGTTTCTCTCTCATCGATGTTTCTAACTCTCTATCTCTCTCCCTTCCTCTCTGTAAAAAAATCAATAAAATATATTTAAATTTCAAAATGGTAGCATGAATAGACTCATCATGCTGCTTTAAGTGATGCAAACTCAAGAGATAAAAACAAACTTGCACGTTTCTCCAATGTTTCCTCAAAGAGAGAAGGACAAACCGGAGAGCATTATGCTCAGTGAAATAAGCCAGTCGGAGAAAGATAAATACCACATGATCTCACTCATTTGTGGATTATAGAGAACAACAGGGACAGATCCAAAGACTGAGAAACAGCAATCAGGCTATCAATCCCCAGAAGGAAAGTAGGGGAGGGCGGGGGTAAGGGGAAGAGATCAACCGAAGGACTTGTATACATGTATATAAGCCAAACCAATGGACATGGACAAGAGGGGGATGGGAGCATGAGTGTGCGGGAGCGGGGGGGAGGTTGGGAGTTAATGGGGGGGATGAGGACACATTTGTAATACCTTAACTAATAATAAAAAATAAAATAAAATAAAAAAAAAAGAGTGAAGGACAGGTACAGGGGAAGAAGCAAGTAGGGCGGTCTCAGCTTCTAAGCTCTGCTCAGTGTTTGCCTTTCATGTGTACAAAAGAGAGTCAGATAGACTTGGAGAAGACTTCCCTATAACAAGTCATTGTTTGTTTTTTGTGGGATTTTTTTTTTTGTCATTGTTCATAAGTCGTTAAGGAAAGTTATATGCGAGAGATCATGATGGAGATCTATGCATGAAAGTCTCAGGACTAGTAGGATTTGTGTCCTCCGTGAAGAGGAGGGAGAGTGGCAGCCGAGTTCAGTCAGTTCATAAGAGAGGGTCATTGCAGTGAACCACTCAGCACTAAAAGGCAAAGTTTCTGTTGAGAATTCAATTGATAGTCTTATGGGAGCTCCCTTGTACGTAACTAATTGCTTTTCTCTTTCTGCTTTTAAGATTCTCTCTTTGCCTTTAGCCTTTGGCATTTTAATGTTGATGTGTTTTGGTGTGGGCCTCTATGGGTTCATTTTGTTTGGAGCTGTTTGCACTTCCTGGATTTGTATGTCTAGTTCCTTCACCAGGTGGGAAAGTTTTCAGTTATTATCTCTTCCAATATTTTCACAATAAATCTAGTAATACCACACCCCATAAGATTGTTTGAAGGTGTTTTCATACAATGTGAATAATATTTTTTGGTGTCGTATGTTTTAAACTGTAATCTCAGATGAGGCAAAATGCACATGTATAGCCCAGGATCACTCACTGTTAAAGTCTTCCTTTCGAGCTCCTAAAATGACACATTGGAGGGCTGTAGATCTACTGAATGAAAACGACTTGCCCAACATTGATCGTGTCATGATTGGAAAAGCTCTCATGGAGTTTCAAAGGTGAGTGCCAAACTCACATCTCCTCTGAAACTTAGGTGCTGGTTTAGGATTGAGATGCCTCCCCCATGGCCACATCCATGTTGAGGTCCGTGGTGTTAGCGATGCAGCCGGGATTTTTTTTAACTAAAGGCTGAGTGTCCTCTGGAGCAATACCAGGGAGACTGTCTGGACCAGGACACTGCACCTTGGAGCAAGCCTTTAACATATCTTCCTTTACTGAATCACATGTTAGCCGTGTCCTGAGAACGTGGGCATCCTGGGCACCCCGAGAAGTGATCCAAACGGACATTGTCTTATGGGCTCACCTTGGCCTTGGACTTGAAGATTGACTTGGGGAAGAATTGAATGGGGAGGTGGGAGATGTAGAAGCGTGGGTCTTCCTGCTGCTGCTTTATATCTTCAAGCCCGGAAGCGTTTTCTAGCCATGGTGAACGTTTCCAGCTGACCACTGATTGCACCCAGCTGGGATCTCCCCTGGTGTGGATCAGATGGATGATCTCCAATATCCAGTTGGTTCCTGTATAGCAAAAGAACACAGTGTCACCTATTTCAATCTGACTTTTGACTCCATCACTACATTGTGTTTGTTTATTTATTTACTTGCTTATTTATTTATTAAATATGCACCTATCACTTTGCCATTTCAAAACCTTTCTTGGAATTACGTTGTCTTTGGACAATTTCCTAATGCCTCACCATGACTTCAAGATTCCTCATTGATCCCAGCTGGCCTGGCTCGGTGGTTGAGACACATACATCCAAAAACAGAAGTAGCCAGCACAGGGAATAGAGTCAGTAATATCGTAATCAGTATGGGTGGGACCAGGTGGGGACTGGGGATATGGGGCAGAGGGGTGTCAATTTGTAAGAACATAAACGTCCAATCACTATGCTGTGCACCTGAAACTAATATACGGTATGTCCACTATCATCAAGAAATGAATTCCCGCCCTATCCGGTTTGACTCAGTGGATAGAGCGTCGTCCTGGGGACTAAAGGGTCCCAGGTTCGATTCCAGCGAAGAGCACATGCCCGGGTTGCAGGCTCAGTCCCCAGTAGGGGGTGTGCAAGGGGCAGCTGATCAATGATTCTCTCATCATTGATGTCTCTCTCTCTTCCTTTCTGAAATCAATAAAAATATTTTTTCAAAAAAGAGCCCAGCTGGTGTTGAGCAGTGGTTGAGCATTGGCCTATGAACCAAGGAGGCCACGGTTCAACTCCTGGTCAGGGCACAGGCCTGGGTTACAGGCTCAATCCCCAGTGTAGGGCATGCAGAAGGCAGTCGATTTATGATTCTCTCTCATCATTGATGTTTCTATCTCTCTCTTCTCTCCCTTCCTTTCTGAAATCAATAAAAAATATATATTTTTAAAAATCAATGGAAAACATATCCTCCAATGAGGATTAACAATAATAATATAATTCCACGTTGATTTTTCCATTTAAACACATCCAGTCTCATCTCCTGATACTACACTCTCCCTATTCTCCACAAAGTTGTTGTTTTTTTCAGGTTCCTGACTATCCCTCTGTATATTTCAAATCTAGACCATTCCACATGTAACCCACCCTGTTCTGTTCCCTCTCCAACTCTGACAAAGACTCTTATCTTTGATAAAACGTTAGCCAGACTCTTCTGAGTCCTGTACATGACTAGGTCTTGACCTGGGTGGTCTGTGACCATCCTTGCTGAGCCAAGTTTAGCAAGAATTTTTATAAATCAATAATGGGAATCCTTTCACCCCGGATAGCTTACCAAGGTCCCTATCCCCCATCCTTGATGTCCAACACCTTGGCTTCTCTTCGCATGGATCTCGTTAGGCCGTTTTTGCAAGAATTTTCTAACCCTTCATGTCTAATTCAATCCTCTTAGTAGTTTTGCATCCACTGACCTCACTCTGCTCATTAACTACAAATCCCCAGCTGGCTGTTATTTTCAGAGGTGATTTTAGTGTCTCTCTCTCTCTCTCTCTCTCTCTCTCTCTCTCTCTCTCTCTCTCTCTCTCTCATTGCACTAATCTTGAATAAAGTCTTTCTGCCCATTTTATCAAATGTCAGAATATATGTATTTGCTCCTCACAATATTACATTTGCTGTGGACATCGCAGGATAGATGGTTCCTTCTGCCAAGATTCTCAGGTATCCAGTCCCCCATTTTTATTATTATTTTTTTGTTTTGTTAATCCTCACCCAAAGATAGTTTTCCATTGATTTTTAGAGAGAGTGGAAATGGAAGGAGGGATGGAGAGAGAGAGACAGACGTTGATATGAGAGAGACACATTAATTGGTTACTTCACACACACACCCTGACTGAGGCCGGGGATCATACTTGCAACCCAAGTACATACCCTTGACTGGGAATCAAACCCAAGATGCTTCAGTGCACGGACCAACGTTCTAACCATGTAACTACACCAGCCAGGGCACCTGTCCCTTTTAAACACCCATCGCAATCACCTGAATCTCTGCCTTAGCCTCTTCACCCATAAGGCTCTCTATATCTCTACAATGCCCTGGTGGTCACATCCCTTTATATCATAATTGCCTGCGTGAACCCCCTCTTTCTGGAGTGTAACCACACCAGTCATCAAAGCATAGTCAAAGGTGAGGCATAGAGAAGGCACACCTTGGGTAACCCCATTCCCCACCTCCTCAATGTCTCATCCCACTTTCTTACCTGACTTTGGGTAAGAAATTGTGATGATATCTTCATCCCTTGCCACAAATTCATCCTGCAAAGATCTGAGGTCTTCAATGGTAGTTGTAGGGAAAGGAATCCCTTCAATCCACATGTAATCTCCAGCCATTCCCAAAGCCAGCCTTCCAAACTTGGTCTGGTTGTTCCAGCCACAGCAATAGAAGGCAGACACACTGCTTCCTGGTTATGATTCAGATCTTATCTATACTAATAAAAGCGTAATATGCTAATTAGACCAGGCATCTTTCCAAACAAAGCCACGGTGGCAGGGGCCATGGCAGGTAGTTAGGGGCAATCAGGCCAGCAGGGGAGAGCAGTTAGGGGGTGATCAGGTTGGCAGCAGAGGGCATTTAGGGGCAGTTAACATTTTCTATAATATTTTAACTATTTTAACTTTTTTAAATGAACATGTTTTTTATAAATTAAAAAAATAACAATTTTAATGACCAACAAAAGTAATCTTTGAAATGTTTACTTTAATATGTAAACATTACATTTAATTTTATGTTATGTGAATTTCATTTCAATAAAAAAATTTTCCAAAAATTTAAAAATCAGCATGAAAAAAATTTAAAATTGCCAAACTGTCTTAGAAATTATCTCAGAATAAATATTGGGAAATTTATAACTTTGAAAGTTGAATGTCATTGAGCAGGTTGAATTTGAGGCAGTGTGGTTTTTGAAAGGGCGAGGGCTATGCCCTCCATCTTACCCTGGATCCTCCATTTTTAGGCAGCAGCCTTAGCCATGTGCTCGGCAAGAAGCTTCTTCCCAGAAGCCCAAGCCTCTGCTAGCCACACCTAGGATTTCTTTAACCAATGACAATCAAGGGAAGTGTGCGCCATAGACACAACCACATCCTGCGTAACAAGACCCCGACTTGCACCTGGCAAATCAGCAAGGTCCACAGTCCTCTCTTCTCCCCTTACTCCAACCCCCCTATAAATCCCCTCTTCCCACAGAGCTAGCTCTCTCTCTCTGCCCCAGCTGCTGTGTCGGTGATTGTGGGGGGAGCTTGAGCTAGCCCGAATAAAGACTCTATCTGCTTTTGCATTGGACTTGGCTGGCTCCCTGGTGGGTCTTTTGGGGATCCTGAAATCTGGGCTTAACAGTTTTATTTTATTTTATTTTTTAAATATATTTTTATTGATTTCAGAGAGGAAGAGAGAGGGGGAGAGAGATAGAAACATAAATGATGAGAGAGAATCATTGATCAGCTGCCTCCTGCATGCCCCACATTGAAAATGGAGCCCGCAACCCAGGCATGTGCCCTCAGCAGCACTTGTGTAGTAATTTACAGATGATAGCCATTCTGACAGGTTCCAACAGGTGATATATCCTCGTGGTTTTAACTGGCATCTCTCTGATAATTAATGGCCTTGAGGATCTTTTCATATATCTATTGGCCATCTGTATGTCCTCTGGAGAAGAGCCTATTCAGGCCCATTGCCCATTTTTTAATTGGATTTTTTGTCTTCCGTCAGCTGAGTTGTATAAGTTTTTTATGTATTTTGTAAATTAACCCCTTATCGCCCTAACCAGTTTGGCTCAGTGGATAGAGCATCGGCCTGTAGACTGAAGGGTCCCAGGTTCCATTCCGGTTAAAGGTATGTGCCTTGGTTGTGGGCACATCCCCAGTAGGGAGTGTGCAGGAGGCAGCTGATCAATGTTTCTCTCTCATCGATGTTTCTAACTCTCTATCCCTCTCCCTTCCTCTCTGTAAAAAAATCAAAATATATTTTTTTTAAAAATTAACCCCTTATCAGCTCTATCATTAGCAAATATGTCCTCCCACTCAGTGGGTGATCTTTCATTTTGTTGATGGTGTCCTTTGCTGTGAAAAAACTTCTTAGTTTGATGTAGTCCTATTTGTTTAATTTTTTGTTGTTGTTGTTTCCCTTGTCCAAGGAGATATATCAGAAAGAAATATTGCTAAGAGAAACGTCAGAGATTTTGCTGCTTCTGTTTTCTTCTAGGAGTTTTATTGTTTCACATCTCACATTTAAGGCTTTCGTCCATGTTGAGTCTATTCTTGTATGTGGTGCAAGAAGGTGGTCTGGGCCAAAACCGGTTTGGCTCAGTGGATAAGAGCGTCGGCCTGCGGACTGAAAGGTCCCAGGTTTGATTCCGGTCAAGGGCATGTACCTGGGTTGCAGGCATATCCCCAGTGGGAGATGTGCAGGAGGCAGCTGATCGATGTTTCTCTCTCATCGATGCTTCTAACTATCTCTCTCCCTTACTCTCTGTAAAAAATCAATAAAATATATTTTAAAAAAAAGAAGGTGGTCTGGTTTAATTTTTCTACATGTTTCTGTCCAATTTTACCAATACCACATATTGGACAGATGGTCTTGCCTTCTTTGTCAGATATTGACCATATAGATGTGGATTCATTTGTAAGCTCTCAGTTCGGTTCCATTGTTCTCTGTCTATTTTTATACTAGTACCATCTTGTTTTTATTACTATGACCCTGTAGCATAGTTTGATATCAGGTAGCGTGATACAGCCAACTTGGTTCTTTTTCTAAATTGCTGTTGTTATTTGGGGTCTTTTGTGGTTCCAAATAAAATTTGGAGTGTTTGTTCCAGTTCTGTGAAATACACCATTAGTATTTTGATAGGAATTGCATTGAATCTATAGATTGCTCTGGTGGTATGGACATTTTCATGAGGTTAATACTTCCTATTCATGACCATGACGGTATATGCTTTCATTAATTTGTTATCTTTTTCAATTTTTTTCTTTGGTATCTTATACATTTCTGAGGACAGGTCTTTTATTTGCTTGGTTAAATTTATTTCTAGTGATTTCTTAATGAAATTGTAAATGGGACTATTTTCTGGGACAGGTTCTGGGACAGGTGATATATCCTTGTGGTTTTAATTTGCATCTCTCTGATAATCAGTGGCATTGAGTATTTTTTCATACGTCTATTGGCCATCTGTATGTCCTCTTTGGAGAAGTGCCTGTTCAGGCCCATTGCCCATTTTTTAATTGGATTTTCTGTCTTCCTTTAGTTGAGTTGTATGAGCCCTTCATTATAGTTCATTATTGGTGCACAAAGTGTGATTAATTTCTAAATTTTTAAACTTATTTTGCTACTGTATTGAATTTATTTATTAGTTTTAGTAGTTTTTTACTAAACTCTTTAGGGTTCTCTATATACATTACCTTGTCATTGGCAAATAATGACATTTTTACTTGTTCCTTTTTTTTTATTTGAATGCCTTTTATTCCCTCTTTTTGTCTTATTACTATAGCTAGGATTTCCAGGACTATGTTGAATATGAGTCGTGAAAGTGGACTTCCCCATGTCATTCTTGATCGTAAGAAAAATGCCTTGCCCTAACCGGTTTGGCTCAGTGGATAGAGCATTGGCCTGCAGACTGAAAGGTCCCAGGTTCAATTCTGGTTAAGGGCATGAACCTTGGTTGTGGGCACATCCCCAGTAGCAGGTGTGCAGGAAGTAGCTGATCAATGTTTCTCTCTCATCGATGTTTCTAACTCTCTACATCTCTCTCCCTTCCTCTCTGTAAAAAATCAATAAAATATATATTTTTAAAAATGCCTTGAGTTTTTTTCCAGCTGAGTATGATGTGAGCTGTGAGTTTGGCATACCTGGCCCCTTAATATGTTGAGGTATGTTTCATCTATTCCTACTTTGCTGAGAGTTTTTATCTTGAATGTGTGCTTGATTTTGTAATGCTTTTCTTGCACCTATTGATATGATCGTATGACCTTTGTTCTTCATTTTGTTTATGTGGTGTGGCAAGTTAATTGATTAGTGTGTATTGTACCAAACTTGCATCCCAGAAATAGATTCAACTTAACCATGGTGTATGATCTTTTGAACGTATTGCTGAGTTCAGTTTGATGATATTTTTTGAGAGTTGTGGCATCTATGTTACTCAGAGATATTGGCCTATAATTTTCTTTTCTTGGTAGTGTCTTCATTTGGTTTTGGAAGTAGAATAATGCTGGCCTCATAAAATGTGCGTGGGAGTCTTCCCTCCTCTTGAATGTTTTGGAATAGTTTGAGAAGGATAGGTGTTAGTTTTTCCTGGAATGTTTGTGAAAAACCCAGCTTTGAAGCCATTCAGGTCAGGACTTTTGTTTGTTGAGAGATTTTTTTTTTAAATTATTATTACTGCTTTGATTTCGTTAGTTGTAATCAGTCTGTTCAGATTTTCTATTTCTTCTTGATACAGTTTTAGCAATGGATATATTTCTAAGAATGTATCCATTTCTTTCAGATTGTCCAATTTGTTGGCATATGGTTGTTTGTAATATTTTTTTAATAATATTTTTTGTTTCTGTGGTGTCTGTTGTTACTTCTCCTTTTTCATGTCTGATTTTATTGATTTGGAATCAAAACTTAACATTACAGCAAAGGAACCCAGCAAGAGAAAATAAAAAGGAATTCTTAAAAGCCAGAAAACAATGGACAAAATGGGAATGGTAAATCCATAACTATCAAGGATTACCTGGAGGGGGTCAATGGGGGAAAAAGAGGGACATATGTAATACTTTCAACAATAAAGAATTATTTAGGAGAAACCAAGATGGCGGCATAGGTGAACACCAGAGTTTGCTGCCTCGAACAACCACTTCAAAAATACAACTAAAAGTTGGAACAGACATCATCCAGAACCACAGGAAGGCTGGCTGAGTGGAAATTCTACAACTAGAAGGAAAGAGAAAGGCATACCGAGACTCAGAAGAGGTGCAGTGTGGAAGTAAAATACTAAGGTACAGAGGCACACAGGGAGCAGGCTGGTGGCTGAGGGCACGGTTTCGTTTTCAATCGGGAGGGAGTCTCAGGCTCTGAGCTCCAGTTCCGGGTGAGTCTCTGGAGACCCAGACTCATACAGGAGAAGCGGGACTGTCTGGCATCAGTCAGAACTCAAGGGCAGCTTTCTCTCAGAGGGGCTTGCAGCAATTTCTGGGACACTGAGAAGTGGGGTCTCTGAGAGCAGCCATAACTACTAGCCCCGCTCTGTTGATCCCATGGGACCCGCCCCACCCAAGCCCTTCAGGGAGGCTTTTGCTGGATAGCCTAAGGCAGAGGCTAGATTAGCACCTCCCTAGAGATCCAGGAGCCAGTGTGCCCAGGGGTCAGAGTGGGACCACCCAGATTGCAGCTCCGTGGAACCATAAAGGACACACTCAGGGGGCAGACTCAGTG